AGAGAGGCCCTTCGTAGCCTTGAGCACGGCAGGAGGCGACTTTCAAAATTTCTACAGTTCAAGCAACTGCTTTAAACTATATGATTTCTAAGAAGCCCCTCTATAGCGTCTGCCGGGCCACCGGTCGTGCAGCCCAGGTCAGGGCTCCCTGAAGCATTGCATCGCTCCTCAGCCGGATCCAAGCACCTGCAGAGTGCGAGGGGATGACCTGTGAATCCAAGCACCAGCTGGGAATGAAAGACGCGTACACGCGTGGGTATAATTAAGGGATACAGTTCGGCTGCACTCACCTTGCGAACTCAGCACTGTTGCAGGTGAGTACATGCTGCACCTTCAGAAACAGTGAGGCCCGCGAACATCGATTCAGCACTCTGATCCCTGCGGAACCTGAAAACCACGGAAGCCTGACGGACCAGCCGCGCGTAGCCCACCTCGTTCGTTCTCTTGTGGTCTCGGTTAATTCCTCTGTGTTCATGGTTCTTGTTCTGGCATTATGTCGGTCATCCTCCATCTTCATGCACCCTCGAATGCCTCGGGCTGCGGCCATGCCGGGGAATGCAAAATGCGTGTACACAGCTCCCCACTCATCACAATGCAGAATATCTCGGAAGTCTAGAAGTTGTAAGAATCCTGTGCTCCCCAACCCAACCTTAGGCTTCGCCGTCTCCACGGTGCTTCCGACAGGGCAGTCCTGCGCCCGTGGTTTAAGGGTTTAGCGTCTGAGCTTCTGGGCTTGTTTAAGGTTTCCCCTCTGTGTTGTACAGACCCTCACCTTCCCTCACCAAGACGTAACCTGAACATTCATCCTATTAGGGTTTAGGCTTAGGGTTTGGTGTTAGGGGGACGATAGGGGGAGCAAACAAAGGGGCAGTGCGCAGGTCGCTCCAAGCATGTGGCAAGGATTCAAAGGTCGGGGCCTTGATGCGTTCGTTCAGGAGCAGGTTGCCCTTTTGAGAGCACATACTGGCTTGCGGAGATCAAGTTCTAGGAAGTTGGAATTGGAGGTTATCCTTGGCTCTTCAAGGTTGCGACGTGCGGCGGCGATGGCGTGCTTGTTGAAGTGTTGTGCGGTTGCCCATCGGCTTTTTCAGGATGATCACCACCCACGTCACGCATCATGCATGCACGGATGTTTGGGGAAGCCAGACGAGACGAGCAAACGACTAGCAGCGAAATAATCGCAATATCTCTGCGATTCGACTATGAACGTATCTTCTTCCTCTATGCGGTCCGGGATGCTGCATGGAAATTCGTACCATCAGTTTGGCCCGGCAATCAAGCTAAAAGCCTCCGATGGGGCAACATCTTGACCCTAAACACCCAAATCCTGAAAACTAGACTCAAATCCCGAAGTGCGAACACATCGTACATGAGAGGGGTATGCGGTATGTAGGCTGTCCAGGTGGAGTTCGCTGCAGTCTTCGCAGTCGCCCCTCAGATTGGAAGCCCACACGAAGGGTTGAATCTCGCAGTTCGGGCCCTATGGATGCTCCTGCAGAACCCTCATGACGAAATTGCGGCGCAAGCACTCTAGACAGGTACGCAGAGCGCCTAGAATTAGAGTGAGATGAGCCCACGGCCTCTTTCGGGCACGGCCCAAATCAAAAAGCTGTTGAGGGAGAGGATCAAACCCAAAGACCGTACGCGCCCTGAAAGCAACCACATGCTTTGCTTCCAGGAGCTGGGATAAGGCTTTTCCGTTGCCACATTGGCAGGCATCGTTGATCATCCTGCGCAGGCAGCTGGAGGCTTATGTTGGGAATAAAATTCTGCACTTTGTGGTTCAGCGGGCCAAGCAAAAGCAGACGTCCGAAGCTTTGGGGAAATTGTCCAAGGGTGAAATGTTTGGAGCCACGTGAGCCACTATGTGAACCTCATGAGTCCTGCCCAGGTCACACCGACAGCCATCGATGGAGGCAGTGCCTTTGCCGGCGGTGCTGTTTGCCGGGCAGGGACGGCAAGAGCTGTTGAAGGCATCATTGAAGGTGTTGTTGGCGCACTCACTGCAGTTGGTGCCGCTGCCTTCGTATCCTGCAATGCAGCCACATAGGCCTTGTGGCCAAAACAGGTGGGAACTCATTCTCAGTGAGCTCGACGTCACGTCGTGGCAGCTGTAACCGCCAGTGACATTTGTCGAGGTCGTCTGCGCTGTCATCCGCAAGGCACCTGTCTCAAAGAGACGTGAGATATCCCGCGAGTTTTGTGATGGCCGTGCCACTTAGGTCCAGCTGAAGGTTCTTTTTGAGGGCACTCTGTAAGGTGCCAGTTGCGAACGTAATCGGTGGGTTGTTGGCCAACGAGATGTACATCTGGACCTGCACGGCGTCCGCACCGGAAATCTTGTTGCCCGAGAAGTCTAGCGCTTGCAGCGTCTTGGACAAGGGAAGCCCGCAGTACGAAGCCCAGCTTTTGCCATCTACTCTTGCTCCCTTAAGGCAATCTATGTCTGGCACATGCCCGGAGAGGTTGGCATGCTTGGCGAGCAGGCGGGTGAGTGTCCCTGAAGCCGCCAGCGGCACGAGGAGGTCTTCCACAGGACCATTGAGAGGGCAGTCTGACACCTCAGCTCCGCCTAAACCCTCCTGAGCGCAACCTCCAGAGCTAGACATTAAGTCACTAGCATTCTGCCAAAGTTGCGTCCAAGGTCATCAGTGCTGGCAGGAGCTTCTGGGACGAGTCCTTGATGAAGAGCTCCTGCTGGAGCTCTTTTCCGCTTGGAAGGAACTCGGCCTGGCTGCCCTGGGCACAAGGCATCTGGGAGCATCTGAATCTAACTCACGGCCGAGCAGCGCATGGAAAGTCCAAGGGCCCGACCGCCAGGTTGAGGGTAGCAAGCTTCCTCAGCCGGCCTCAGGAAAAGACGAACGAGTAGTTTGAGAAACGCCTGCGGCCAAATTTGAAAGCCTGCGGCTGATAGCCAAGCCGCCGCGCCACGAAATGGCAAGGCGCCCGTGAACTTGCGTGGAGCTGAGATCGACCTTCGGCAAGACAGCCCGCTTCGATGGATTTGCCGGGGCGGTGACGCCAAGATAGACCCCGAAATGTGTCTATCACCGGTCTCACGTTAGGTTTACATATATCATCTTGGGGAACCATCTAAAGCACCTTCTCGACCTATCAAGTTCTTTTCCCATAGGGTCATAAAGGATGTCCATCCAGTCATGTCACAGGCTGCTGCAGTACCTGCTGGTCGGAACATGTTGCCGCCACGATTGCCCTCAGAGTAGCTTCCGGTAGTAGGCCAAGCTCTTGTTTTCACAACTTTTTCATATCAGCAGCATCGATTCCACCACACATAGCACTATTGGCATTGTGTTACCGTGAACACAAGCCCCCCCAAGAAAATGAACACGCGCAGCATCCTACGGTCCAGGCAACAGGTGCTGGAACCCCGTGCCTGCAAAAAGTACCGCTGCCAAGTCTACAAGTCGTCAGCCCGCCAGTTCCCCACAACTGAGAGGAAACAAGTGTGCCTCAGTCAGGTTTGGCAAGCCGGTAAGGCGCTCAATCTGGCCCCTCACAGGGGCTCCTCCAAGACGCAGGATCTGCAGCTCGGCAAGGGCTTTGAGTGGCTGGAGGTCGCCGGCAATTTGGGTGTTTTGGAGGCTCAGGAGATGCAGCTGGGTGAGGGGAGCCAGTGGCTGGAGGTCGCCGGCAATTTGAGTGGAGGAAAGGTGCAGGTACCGCAGCTGGGTGAGGGGAGCCAGTGGCTGGAGGTCGCCGGCAATTTGGGTGTTTTGGAGGCTCAGGAGCTGCAGCTGGGTGAGGGGAGTCAATGGCTGGAGGTCGCCGGCAATTTGGGTGTTGTAGAGGTGCAAGTACTGCAATTGGGTGAGGGGAGCCAGTGGCTGGAGGTCGCCGGCAACTTGGGTGTGGGCGAGGTTCAGGTTTCGCAGCTGGGTGAGGGGAGCCAGTGGCTGGAGGTCGCCGGCAATTTGGGTGTTTTGGAGGCTCAGGAGCTGCAGCTGGGTGAGGGGAGCCAGTGGTCGGAGGTGGCCGGCAATTTGGGCGTTGTGGAGGTACAAGTACTGCAGCTGGATGAGGGGAGCCAGTGGCTGGAGGTCGCCGGCAATTTGGGTGTTGGGGAGAGAAAGGTACCGCAGCTGGGTGAGGGGAGCCAGTGGCTCTAGACTGCCAGCAATTTGGGTGTTGGAGAGTTGCAGGCGCTGCAGCTTTGTAAGGGGAGCCAGTGGCTGGAGGTCGCCGGCAATTTGGGTGTTATGGAGGCTCAGGCGCTGCAGCTTTGTAAGGGGAGCCAGTGGCTGGAGGTCGCCGGCAATTTTGGTGTTGAAGAGGCCCAGGCCCCGCAGCTGGGTGAGGGGAGCCAGTGGCTCTAGACTGCCGGCAATTTGGGTGTTGCCGAGGTCCAGGTGCATCAGCTGCGTCAGGTGTTGCAAGGCGCTGGTGTTTCCGTGGACTTTGGTGTTTGAAAGGTCCAGTGACTCGAGCTCCCTGGGAAGGACTCCGACACGGCCCGAGAGCGGCCACCCTGACAAGTCGATCTTCACCACGCACTCCTGGGTTCAACCCCCTGCTGCTTCTGCACAGAAAGACGCAAGTTTGAGGCTGTCTCACAACAAGATCCCAGAGTCGCTTTCATCGCAGCCAGCTCCGGGCCAGGAGCACGGATCACGCGTGAGCTCTTCAGCCGGGACCCCGAGCTCCAGGAAGGCCGACCTTAAGGCCTCCGGCCCGGTACCTTGCATCTAAAAGTGCTCCAACCATTTCAAGGGACCAGAAACAGGCACCCACAGTTTTCTCAGCAATCCCAACAAAAATCGCGACATGACGATCTAAGAGGTGCCAGGCCACACTCAGACATAGCAGGGCCGAGCCTCGTGAAGCTGCCGGCTGTGACCTGCACTCACTCCATCATAGGAGTCACGGGAATGGATCTGCGATTACGAACTTCGACCCACATCATGCGTAGAAGGGAATGTCTCCACGCACAAGGAAAAGGAAGGAGCTCAGTGGAGCTTTGCTTGGTCCTCACCTCAACACGATTCGAGATCCTTGCAATCCACGGCTCCGCAAGCTTTTGGGTTCAGCAACGAAGTTTGAGAGGTGTCCCCAAACCCCCAAGTAACAAAACGCTGGCTCAAACCCTCCATGCAAAACGTCTCTGAGCCCTGCACTCTATAACACCCTGAAGGAGGCCAGCAGCTCGCGTGGTGCGGGGTCTTTACCAATAGCTTGAAAACTCAGAAGGATGCTTACTTCTGGTTGTCTCGAGATGAACTTGTATCTCTTCCAGGGCCGAGGCTTACACACCCGGTAACAAAGTCGCAGACCGGCTCGGCCTCTTCGATGTGCGTGCGGCTTCCAGGCTTGGTGTCGGCCCTGTGGTCCTCACACATTTGATACGCAGAAGACCTCCTTTAAGCCTCACCTTCCAGCGCTGGTTAGGCTGGTCAGGTGCTGCCGGGCATCGCCATGGTGCTCTTCTGCATCGGTCCCCAGAAACACCTGCAGATGCCGCGTGCTGCGCTCCGCGGCAAGTAGGGTTGCCAGCACGCAGAAGGCCAAGCCCGTCAAGGCCCCCATCGGCGGCGAACACAGATAGAGCGTTGCCCCGTTTGCATGCAAAAGCCACTGACTAACCTGCAGGATGAAGCAAAAAAATACCGAACTGGTACATGCTTTCCTCATGTTTGCCCTGATGGAGCTGTGTCAGGCACAGACAACATGATGCTGAGAGCTCCGCGGTCCGGAGCTGGCAGAGTGAGCCCAAAAGTGACGCCGGAACGCATGGCTTCTCAGTCTAAAGCGCTTTGGATTCACATGTTGCAAAGGATTTCTAAGGTACACAAACGGCGCTTTCTACCCATTTCGACATATACATGGAGCATGAGGCAGCGGGCATGCCTCCAAACCGCGCGTGTGACCTTATTATGTGCTGAGCACAACCCCCAAAAAGCAAACACATGCCCTGCCTTTCTCACGAGTCATAACCCCACCCACCCAATCACAAAAACCCGCGCCCCACCAATTCAAAAAAATCCCAGTATGGTATATTTCACCACGATGGGCAACAGAAATTCAAAATTCAATTTTAGCATACTCTCCACCAGAAGTAGCTCCGGTTTGCGTTTGCTTTCTCGCCGCAAGCTGCAGCCATTCGAGTGCGATGCCCTGTGTGAGAAGACGGACAGATCCTCCTGGCCAACACATCTAGGCTCTTGCTTCTCACTTGGCTTTGGCTCCATGGTTGCCGTTGTTCACTACCCATAGGGCTCCATAACAGTTTCTTTTGGGGGTTCAAGTTTAGGATCCTATAAGGTGATCGAACTACTTTGGAGGCTATGGGCGAAGCCCTCAACGCTACGGCAATGGAGACTTGCCAGATGGCTACACACGGCTTAGGGCTTAGGAATTCTCAGACACCCGAGGTGTCGTGCGCCTGGGACTAAGATGATGATACCCCGGGACACCGACTCCCAAACCTTCGACCGGCCCTTGTTAAGTCCGAGGTTACAGGCTACCCACCAGACCACGATCATGAGCCACAAAGTCTTGAGCTCAAACCAAACCGACAGGAGCATGAACTCGACCTCAAGCTCATAAAATCATTGACGCTGGCACGAGCAGCTCACGGATTCCAGAGCCTCAAATAACCAGCTGGCCATTGGCCCCTGAGCTTTCTGGCTATATAAAAGCAGGCCGGAACTGTGAAGATCTCTCTCTCGATGTGCATGGGCTCTCAAAACAGCCCCACATATCCCCAAGATCGCGGCATCCTTAACTAGAAGGACCACATGAGCTCCATAGTCTTGATACAGCACGATGCACCATCACACCCAGACAAGTACTCGGATCACAAACTTGCAGGCAAAGCCAAAAAATCAGGGCGTCAGCAATCCTCCCTCCAAGCTCAGGCCCAAGCCCAATAAACCCTAAACCCTAAACCGCAAACCCTAAAGCCTATAGAGGTTGAAACATCCTGGGCCTCAAAACCTCATCCCTCGAAACGCCTTTCAGCTCCAAGAGCTCCAC